TAACTTTGCCTTAATATTTCATAATTATTATAGTTAGAATATAAGCATTAGTTGGTGACCATCTCAACATATTGCACCACTTTTTTTGGCTTCAAATTTTTACATTACATGGGAAGTCTATTCTGTGTATAGTTAATGCTACTTTCTTCGCCTATCAATCAATTAACCACTGATAAAAAATTAAAAAGTATTAATAAAGATATGTGGAATACTGGCGATTTAATTCGTGCATTTTAACTATTATCTGCTCTTTATTTAGCCAGGACTATTTTTAACACCCCAATAATCGAAAGAATAGCTGGACCCAGTTTAGAATCTTAAACTTGTTTTAAACTTTATCATGATCAAACCTGCTTTTTTCGGTTTATTAGGTTGTCTCTTAAGTATACAAGTTAGAATAAGCACAAGTAAGAAAGAGCAAATAGGTTGGCTAAATTGAATGAATCAAGTCAGTACAATATCATGCTATCGTTATTCATTGCGAGGGGGGCTGTTATGAATATGTAGGGGCGGTGGCGTATGTCTGGGCTAACTAGCTTATCTATCTCAACCCTTCTTACACGTGTTACCCGCCCATATCGATGTTATCAACACTAACTACACCGTTCATCATTCGTTACCGTTCTCAACACATGAGTGGACTGGTCAAAATGTACAACTTGAACAATTGTAATTCACACGTTTTTTTTTAATTTCTTACTTACGTACCAAGAGGAAAACAATTCGTATGATAGTTCATACTTATTTCTTGATTTTTCAGGCAACAGGTTTAATACTTAATACTTAATACTTTTCTTAAAATGGCGACGATACAAAGTAGGTATTTTAAGCCAAGTATATGAATGGAGATGAGTGTATGATGAGTGGCGCGATCTTGTAGTCTTGTTAGTGACTAAGGCCGACTTATTCCTTAGACACAGCTGTTAATTAATGGCCCATACAGCTAATGGCGACTAAGGGACCTACAGTTTATAGTGGAATCCGAACCACTTTTTTTCCTTGGTATATACGAATTGGTCTAATTATCAGGATAGCACTGCGGTAGTCGTAGTACTCACCCGCGCGGACGTTAATCCACACCAAGAAGTATCGCATCCACAGTGAATGCCTATAAATATCCACAATTCGTGACCTCCTAGTAGCTGGATTACAGGACGACGCCACCCGTCCCAGTAATGAAACATGTTTTGCAGTTTCTGCTATTTCTTCTGGTCTACACATATATTCACAATCACTTTCACTGAGTTCATTACTTTTAAACATGTTAGGCCCACTTATTATTAAACTTTCGAATACTACACTTTAGGTTATGTTCAAAACAAGCGTTGAACGAAAATAGAATATAAACACGAAATGACAGGTTAAATCGTAGTATCAATAGTCAATCAGCTCATCATAGTAGTAGTATCTTTAAGTGTTGCCAACCTATTTCCAAAAGTACACGAATTACGTGCATATAATAAAACCACGCTGTTTTGTGGTGTTTGGTCGGAATCCAGGTGTGCGCCAAAGTATAAACCGTGCGACAAAGTATAAACGGTGTTAAGTAAATGCAGCAATTAGCAGCTTTCTGTACTATAATCAGTTCAAGGAAACCAACTTTGTTGGGTGATTGTAGGAAAAGATATTTTCCTGTAGATGTTTAGAATCGCACAAATAATGAATTTAAAATTTTAAAGAATCAACATTGGCCTTATGGTTTGACATGTTGGTGACAAAATAACAACGAAATATAAACAGAGAATCACAACAATTCGACGAAATCCAATCACATGTTTTTACAGCGTCGATGATAATAGAGAGGTCTGTACGTTTCCAACCTAAAGGAGTAGTGAAACATTCAAACACCAGACAAACGTCACCAACATAAAACACATTAAAACATGTATGTTTTTATAATAGAGCGGTGTACTCCGGTGTACTTGCCCTATCAGTCAACGGTTCTACGGTTCAATCGACCGTGTAAGCCTATCTGTTGAGTCATCCAGAGCTTGTTGACCTTCCTCATCAGTCGAGCGGAAGGTTGCAATTATATCGTATGACGTTGAACACCATGACGTAGGGTCAGACAGTCTCACGGTGGGGTCCACCTGGAGTGTGACGCGTGCGATGCGTGCCGAGTATGACGTCACGCGTGCGGTGACCTACAGACGATGTATTTGCTAACAGAATTTGTTTAGGGTATTCATTACGTGCGTTTTTAGGTGTTGTTTTACATAGTGAACGTTTGGGGTTTGATTAACCATGTACTCCCTAATAGACATACTGTATTGTCGTTGTTGATAGTCTGAACATTTTAAGTGTTTTAACTCAGTACCGAGGGACAAAGCCTCGATCAGTTGTGGTTGATTGGGTTTAATCGTTAAAACAATATCGTAAACAGACATTTTATAATTTATTTATAATTTGGTTGCTGGAATAATAAAAACTCTCTAATGTAAAAGTATGCAATTAAACAAAAATAAGAGACAATTTAAATCGTATGAGTACAGTTTTTTCATGCATGTATCAGCGCATCATATAATTCATACTAGGTAGCCTTATAAGTTAGCCTAGCTTTCATGAAAGATGTATTTTTTAACTTAAGGTCCAATCGAATTTTGTTTTTGAAACCAAAGGCGGATGTGTAGCTCTTTTATATAACAGAATGTCGTATAAAATGAGCACTATATCGCCTTTCCTCCTCCAATTTTCTCTTCAGCGTCATCTCCGTTTGCGAAGCAAGGGTACAACAGCTAGTTTAGTACTAAAAATTTACTTATATGGCTAGTAATACAGATCAATCAAACTATCAACAAATCACTCCCGCATTCAACTTTGTAACGACACATGTTCCAAAATCATTAAACGATCGTTCAACTCCAACAATAGTTTTCAATTCAACGACGTTTCAAGTCAGTTGAGACATCAACAATGGCGCAGTGCTCCTTGATGTCAGTCAGCGGCCAGTAGTGGATACGGTGGAGAGAGCTGCAGTAGTTGGTTACTATGTGCGCATCTGTCGCTACCGTATACCCATCAGTTAACTTGTCACGTGGCTTACAAGTGGATTATGACGTTATTCGTCACATCTTGTTATGTACAATGTATAGCCTCATAAATGAGCTCATGAGATGCATTTGAGGCAAATAAAATAGATAATAGATATAAGCTTAAAAGTACTAACTAAATACAAATTTACTAGGTGGTGTTGGTTTTAGACTCAGATGCCTTTGTCATAATAGGTTTTATCTAATGGAGACAATTGAACAAAGATTGACCATTATTTGAGGCAATGAATACGCGTACTAACCCTTTGATAATAACTTATGAATAAGTTTGTATTCATTGAGATGACATATTATTGTCCATATTATATTGTCAAGATAGACTTGGAGATATGAGAAAATTCTAACTGTATTAACATATATCACGCAACCACACATAAAGTATGATGGTAGAAGCAAGCCACACTTGTAGAACTAATACATTAAGTATTGTGTTTAAAATAGTACCTAATTGGTTTCTGAATGAATGTTTTATTTTGCTTTATATCTATATATTGAAAGGCAAGCAAGTTTCTTCAAACCCTTTTTTCCCAGCTTGTTTGCATCGAAGGGAAAATCTACGCATACTGTTGGAAATATTTTCCATATTTTTTCATATATTTATTTTTTTCATATTGTTGGAGATATTTTCCTGTAGGTGTGCAGAATTCCTTTTTAAGATAAAATAGGCAAAAAAATTACCATGGGCCTAATGGGTTGCCAGTTTAAGTGGTTTAAGAAGTTTGACGCCATTCAATGTACATACTTGTATGATTGATGAATACAATTATTTTCAATTCAATTACTGTATAGCCCTGTATAATCAAATTTGCACTTACATACAATTTACTTCTCTTTCATACCACATGGCACGTAAGTGTTTAATAGTATATTATGTACTAGTGTTGAAAATAGGTGTTTACCGGACAATTTTGGTCGTTCCCGTGCAAGACGTGGAGTGTGGGATTACCACACGAGTCCGGTAAACAAATTTTGGTCGAGTGACGTACGATCTGTTCAAATCCTAATATTTTGCCACCGACTAAATGACTAACAATCTGTATTCATAACCTAGTGGTTATGTTTTTGTTTATAACCACTCATTTTCAAATACAATCAGCCGGTTGGTGTCCGGTAAAAACTCATTACAGTACATTAGTACGTAATGAAACCCCATTTGATTAATCTGGCACCGACCAGCTGGACTAATTCCTTGCGTGGGAAGTTCGTCAAAATAATGTAGTGTGGCATAAACAATATTTTATGGTTTACACCTTTCACACAAAACAATTTTAAAGCAACAGAAAGCAAAATAATCATTTAAATGACAAAACTCACTCACTTGTGTTAGTTAATTGCCTTTAGGAGTATATATCTCAACTGGATCCCATGTATTTGGTTACCCTCGTATCAATTGCAAACGAAATCAGAAAGCGTTCAGAGTCGCGGACCCTTCTGGGGTTGCTTTGATGTATCTCACCCCAAGAAGCTGATAAGTTAGCGTAACGCTGGAGCCTCCCCCTCGATCGCACCATTTCCTCCCCTCCTATTGTACGTCTCTCGGTCCTCCCGTCCTATTAAAACAATTAAGCACGCCCATTAAACCACCAGAATACTCTTATTTGACAAGTTTTTTTTTTATCTTTAGATCTTTCCCTGGGAGCTGGTCTCTGTACTTTTTAGTGTAAATATACGCTTGTTATTTTGCAATTGTTAATATAATTTTTTGTGCACCAATTAACAGCTTAGCTCCTTTAGGAACAGTATCAGAAGGTTTCAAAGAATAACTTGCTACTCAAAAAACAAGCATAACGAGCATTACATAGTTTCACCAGGCTCCTTGTTCTATCACCATAATACTCTCATAATTACATGGTATCCTTTTGTTCAAATTTTATTTCTGTGTCGTATTTATAAAACCATGTGTTTAAAATCATGTTGCCAGTGTTTACAAACAATCTCACGAAAGAAAACTCCAGATTTATTCCCATGCAAAGCTTACACTCTTTATGAACTATTATTCGTTTTGACTTTTTTTAGAATAATTGCTCAAAACATTACCATAGTTTACCAAACAAACTATGGCGACCGAGAGTGTTCTAGCGTCAAGAGACACTTTGGTCAGGTACGGGAATCCCGTGTTGGTGTCCAGACGACCAGAAAGACCAGCGTCTCCCACAGGACTTCCAGCGGCAGCCCAGGGAGACATAGGGCTTCCGCCGACCGAGAAGGCCAAATCTACCGAGGAGGTCCTTAACTGCATCCTTCCACCACGGGAATGGGAGGAGAACGGACAACTGTGGAGACAGACAGTGTCTAGCGAACCGGCGACCAGGGAGGATGTGAAGAAACTAGGAGAACAACTGGACACAGGGCTGCAGCAACAGCAGGCCAGGGAGACGGGGATTTGTCCTGTCAGGAGGAAGATGTTCAGTCAGTGCTTCGACGAGATTATCCGACAGGTCTGTAGTTCAAGGTCACAGTGCTGGTTCGAGGTCATTATCAATACTTTTGAGTCAGGAACGCTACATAAGCGTTTTTTTTTAATCGTAATGTGGAATATAATATAAGTGTAGAGCGGAATTAGGTGACTATGTGTATTTGTTACCGACTTGCTAACTTCCGCAGTTCTACAGGCTACAAGCCATGATGGTCTTTGGCTTCTGCTAAAACACACCTCCTATTTATCCGCTCCTGCACCACACCTCTCCAGTTTTGTACTCTCAAATGACTCTCGCATTCCATGCCTATAAAGACAGGTTCTAAAGAAAAATTACTTTCAGTCATACTATGTGGCAAAAGTGCTGAGTTTATCATTTGCGTAATAGAGCATCCCACCATTACGTAGCTTGAGGAGATACATTTTAGAGATGTCTATTTAATCGACTCGTTTTCTGGATTCATAAGGGCATTCTGCGTCAAATTTTTGTCAAACTTTGAAGTCCTTAGTAGATAAGCTGACAGACTTAGTGAGACGCCAGTGAAGACGTGTTTCCGTCCTTTTTGCTTAGGTTTTTAGTAGTTTCCAACCATATAAAACATAAAATTTATTCTGACAAATAAAAGAATCATTCAGCGATACCTACAAGGAGTATTAAGGTGTGTACAAGGTGTTTAAGGGTATATATAACGACAGTTTTCTACAATCGGACATAAACATTACCAAATATAGATAATATTTATAGTTAGGTTTATACTATAGTTCGGCCGCTAAAGCAGCGGCTACACTTATCCGATTCGGTCCGGTTCGGTCCGGTCCTCCAAAATGCGGAACAATGCTTCCCATGGTTTTAAATGGAGGCGGCTACACTTACCCGATTCGGTTCGGTACGGTCCGGTTCGGCGCGGAACAATCGTCCAGGGAGCATTCATCCGCATTTTGGCGGAAGCATTCGGGGCGGACCGGACCGAATCGGGCAAGTGTAGCCACCTACTCCCGAAATTCGGATGAGGATCGGGGGGTTCCGTGAGCGCTCGGCTATGAAAGTGATGAAATAAATTAGGAAAAATAGTTATTTGTAGGACATAGGCCTAAGAATTTAGGCAATAATATTCATATATTGCCTCGATCATGGAAGATGATAATTATGTCTACTTACACAACCGCGGAAAATAGTCAGAATTTTGTCACAATATCGGGAGACGATTACAATGTCTACACGGCCGTGACGGATTATAGGAAGTTTACCGCGATTGCATGCAAATACAACCATCATTTTTTTATTTATAATTTTTTTGGCACCCCCCAAAAAAGCCAATTGCCTCGCGCCCTAGGCACGTGCCTATTCGTAAATTGGCCCTAGCTAAACACCTTCTATATTGCTGTACTTGTGCCCCGTGCTCGTGTGTGTCCTCCAAAATATTTTACAAGTGTAGCTACCTCTTCCGGCTGGACCGAAACGATTCGTACAAGTGTAGCCACCCCTCACAAATTCGTGCCGGACCGAACCGAACCGGACTGGACCGAATCGGGCAAGTGTAGCCGCTGCTTTAGAAAACGACCTGCGCGCTAATGCTAAACCAATGCTGGAGGAGGTCGCTTTCTAAGCGGCCGAACTATAGTCATATAATTGTTACTCTGGGTTACGTTATTAGCTGAGTAATTTACAGGTGACAATCAACTGCTGCGAGAGAGGGCTGCTGCTGCTAAGGGTGCGGGATGAGATGAGAATGGCGACGGCAGCTTACCAGACTCTGTACGAGAGCAGCGTGGCTTTCGGCATTCGTAAAGCTCTGCAGGCTGAGCAGGGCAAGTGCGATATGGAGGAGACAATCGTAGAGTTGAAGGATGTCAAGGTAAGGTCAAGGCCACACTACAAAAAACTGGCCGTAATGCTCGTCAAGCACGACGTCACTATAGAAGACGGCAAAGACGTATTGTTTGCCGTTTGTGATCAGCTGCTTGTTTTCATATTTTCATCTTTTCTTCACATTACGTCATTGCCGTCTTCTGTGACGTCATGCTAGACGAGCATTATGGCCTGGTAAGATGCAGTTTGCGAAGATGTCATGGATCCGATTTTTATGAAATTTGGTACAAACGTGTAAACCAACATTTATTCGAACGAGTTTGCCAACCAGCATGATTGGACTATGGGAACGGGGGTTTATGGGGGGACTTTAGATTTATTTGAGGTGACATCGCCTAGTTATAGGCCAAAGCACTGTATGTCATGTGATGGATCATCACCTGTTAAGGTAGGATATGGTTACGTGAGAAGACGACGCATAGCAATAGCTACTGAGGAATACGACTTTATATTGGAGACAATACAAAAGGTAAAATGCCAGGTAGGTGGACAAATTAATAGTTTAAAAGGGCTGTCAAGTGCTTAAAAAATAAAACATGGAAATTAGCGTCAAATTATCATCTAAATAATCCCACCTTTATTTATATGTTCTAGGCGGAGCTTGAACGACAAGTTGCCGAACTTAGGGCGAAGGCCGAACAGATAGAGAGAAGAGCAAGCGAGCTGAGACAGGCTGAGGAGAGAAAACATTCCGAGGAAGTTGATTTTCTCAAGAAGACGAACCAACAGTTGAAGTCCCAACTGGAGGGGATCATTGCGCCGAAAAAGTAGTCAAATTGGAAGATTCCCTTGAACTCGTACGATCAGCCCTTCATCATTGCTATTTGTTAAAATGTGTAGTTTAAAATTTTGCATTTCCTTACAATGAAGCTTCAACGATTATAAAAGACTACACGAAGGTCGATCATTTACTTTACTAATATTAATTTTGTCTGTCATTCATAAATAAATTATCAACCTATATTACACGTAGCATTCTCTCTTACATAAGAACTAGCTGCTGTACCCGTGCTACGCAACTAGAATAAAAGCGGAAAGTAACACATTTCCGTCTATACCTCTTTTGCCTAGACTATAACACAATATTAATTTAAGTTTATCTTCCAGGTAACGAATTCTATTCTCTTTATTTATAGCTTGTTTTACTAAAATTAAAGTTATCACCTCAAGTACACCGAACGTGCTGATAAATTACTGTTTGTCCTCTTCTATTGCCACTAAATATTAAAGCCTTCGTCGTTAAGTTAAATCGTAAATTGAAAAAGAAAAATTTGTGACATCAAACGTACTTAACTGCATCAAACGCATGAACGAACAGAAAAACTGAAGATCTTACAATGATGTAAAATCTACTTGTACTAAAATAAATAAAATAATTTAATGAGCTTCAGTGTATTCTTGTAAACTAAGCCAGATGTATTTTCAATCTGAAACCCCACGACAGGTAATTTGTGAAACTCTAGGATAAATAGGCCTAGTTTTAACATTTCATAAAAGGATTTGATTTAAAGATGGTGGTTTTTTTCCTTTTATTACGTTATTTTGTGATTTCCTGTAGCAAACGTGTCACATGAAGCTATTTTATTCCGTCACTTATAGGCCTACCATTTTTTACCCACCATTGCCCATAAAATATTCCACTTTCATTTTGATTATTGTGTGTATTCAGTTATTCAGTTATATTCTTGTTTCAGTTTCCATATGATGTCTTGTTCTCAGGCAGCTCACAATGATGTACTGTACGATGTGTCTCGGACCCACGGTCAAGTTTCCAGTGCCTGGACACTTCATTTCCTCGCCTTCCTCACTTTGTGGTCACGTTGTGTCGTACAGTATATTCAAGGATCTTTGTCAATACATATAATATTTCTTCGATGATACACATAGCTGTTTTACACTTGTGATTAAACAAGAAACTAAATTAATAGGAGTGAGTGTTGACAAATAATACACGATTTAGGTATTGTTTTTTATAGTGATCAAGAATTGAGGTCTTAAATGAAATTTTGTTTGTTGCTTTAGAAGTTGAGCCTTTTCTAAATTTAGAACACAAAGCAAGAGATACAGTGTATCAGTTTCGAGAGTGACAAAATTTGAAAGTAAAAGAGTATTGCTAAATTAAATATATTTTGTAAATATTACTATTTGTCCTAAAATGGCAATTTTTTGTTAGATTGAGGCACTGCCTGCTAAATATTGGTTTTGTTTTTCTATTTTATAGATGTGTATGTAAAATGTTTTTTCTTTCAACATTTGTTTTGGCCGGGAGTTGAATCCATGAGACACTAACCATTAGACTAGAAACACATCATAAGCCGAATACATTTTTTTTAAAGGATTTGTTAGATTTTTTTATACATTTTTTTAACATATAGATATGTATTTTATTTAGATATGAGTTCCCACCTTACGATGCACGATTTACCCTTACTCCTACAGTCCTACAATTTGGAGATGCAAATCAACTTTCAACTCTTGATGTAAAACACCATTGTATGCCTAAAACACTATAAGAAGCGAAACCTTATGGGCCTACAGGGATCACGAGTCAGTTTCAGTTATATTTCACACAGATTAAAGAACAGTAGGAGCGCCACCGCGGGGTTGGCAAACATTGCTAGCTCGTGAGGGTTACTGAGGTGTTGTTATCGATACCACCGATACTTGGACATTGATTGGTACTGGTGTCGAGAATCGATTGGAAAAGTCGATGCCAATACCGATGCCCTGGAGAAAGTCTGCGAGAATCGTGCCATAGAAAAATTATTGCTTTTGCCGCGATCGTTGCATGGCGACGATGACGTTTCCATGCCTGCGGGAGACGATGATGTTGTATACACGGACGAAGTATATTATCATAGTTTGCCGCCTTTGCGGGAGGAGTTCAGTATTTTACCACGATCAAGAAATACCACTGAAAATAATCAGAATCGTGCAGTGATCGCGGGATACAATGATGATGTCTTCAAGGCCACAGCATATGACGTAGTAAACATTTAAGTTTAGGTGCCCCCTTTTGCTTGGAACCAACCCAATTCCAAAAAACTTGCAAACCACGTGTTAATGATATCAGCTTTGACTATCCAATAGTCAATGATATTAGTATGAGGTTCAAGTTAGTGACGTTATTTGTTTATGTTAAAGAACCATACGGATTCTCGTCTAATAGCTGTGACTTACAGTTATAATAGTCCTACATGTTTCATGACGCACTACATTTAAGTCAACAGCTTATGCCTATACTTATTATGTCAAATACTGCCTCCAAAAGGATTACATTGAAACTTTGAGACCCCTTGAGGCGGATTCCTGGGAGAATTTTGTAACGCCATAAAGATGATAGCACTTACCTATGGTCTTTATCACCATGCAAAATTTGAAATGGTTGCTTCAGCCGTCTAGGAGCAATAATTTATGTATGTCGAAATTCACAAGAGTTGACGTATAAAAGCTTCGCTCACTCCACTCAATTATTAGTAAGTGCCCCTTTAGAAAATAATAACAGTCTATTAAGAATATGGGTCGAACACAACACAACAAAACAAAACACGTATTATGTTTATGCATTCATGTAATTGAAGAACATGGTCTATGAAAAGCGCAGTAACATGTGCTATTCATTTCCGTCGTCATTTTCTTCTGTCTCCCCTTGAAGCTGGTTGATGATCATCATATCCAAGATTACCTTTAATCTCGTTTTAGCAATGACGGCCGTGCCAGTGTTAGAGGAAAAAATCCACAAAGCCCATCGACCAATGGGGCTGGAATTGACTGCATCCTGAAGGATAGGTAATACAGAACACTGGACCAATTCACTTTGTATAATTCTATTCGCATTTTTAACCGTGACACTGTCAGCAACAGCATTTGTTAAATCTTGAGCTATCAACTTGCCTGTTTTCTTTGCACCTTTAACTACGTTCCCACCTGTTTTCACAAGTCTAGCCCCTGTCCCACTGCCTTTTTTCTTCACACCTTCTGCGGGTTTAGAGAGAGCTACGTCACATGAACTTAGCATACATCCAATATCATTCGCACTGCAAGCAGACTTTTCCGGACCTTGTTTAAGTTGTTTTCTCTGTTCTCTTATTTCGGCTAACAATAGGGCATTCTTGATTGCTCCAGCTGAGCGTGCAAGACCTGTTAATCCATATTTCAAGATGCCAACGGTTGTTTTCAAAAGACCAGTATTTTGTTTGCCACCACCGGAATCGGAATTCGGTGGAGCTCCGACAGAGCAATGGATCACCAACATTAGCAGAGCCACTAGAACCTGAAACATACAGAATGAGTCAAAAGTAAATGACCGATTATGAGTGATTTTGAAACTAACCAACATAAACAACCAAACTCTATTTTATTTGTTCGTCGCTGCTAGGTCGTATATTCCGTGCGCCTGTATCGGCGCATCTGAGAATATTCTTGTGAGCATAAAGTTCCCAATTATAGTCTACGTCATGTTAAAACCTTACTTTATCTACCAGTGCACCGGTGTGCTGAATTAGTTGTGCAATACTTGATTTGCGGGACGAGAGTGAGATTCACCCAAGATATAGAATAACTAGGAAGTGATCGTAGAGGTGTTGTAAGTTAATAAGTTGTTTTCAACCAATAAAGCATATTTTAAAACTAAAGTCAGTTGGCTATTATAAACAAAACACGCGGTCTACCACTGAGTTTAAACAATGCATTCTAGGCCTATACATACCATAATATAATACAACATTGTACAATTTGAAATACTTTTGATCATAGTATCGTGTCGTCAACATATTGGCAACGATTTGAGGTAACTTATATAATTGCCCAAGTTCAAGTAAGTAAGCCTAAAGTAGTTTTTTTGCGTTTTCGTATTACAAGAAAATACCTAGAGTTCCATCTTGAGGAAAATTTCAGAATGCATTCTCAAAAACTGACTAAGATTTGTAGAAAGCTAAGACGAGCATAAACGCCTAATACGTACAAACAACTTCTTCTGGCAATGTTTTGAGATAATTAAATGTAAAACACTTGCTTGAAACAATGATTTGCATATGCTAAATGTACAAAATTAATGAAAACAGATCGTACAAGGTATCTTATGGTGAAAACTATTCTTAAAATTCTCCCAAAGCAGACACGTCTATAAAAATAACATCTACTGATCATGCAGGCTTATTTTTGCCTGAATTGCCAAAACTGGCCAAGATTGAGAAAATGTAGAATGGTTGGGTTCAACCAGAACTGTTGGTCCACCGAATGACATTACCAAGCTAACATAGAAAAAATGCCGATACAAAGGATATGTATCTAATGTCCACATCTTTACTTTTCAATTGTATTGTTTTATTAAAAAACCATGAAACGTGATAAGTTCGCTCAAACTGGCTTTCACTGCTATGAAAGCAATAAAGAACGATCAGATTTGTTTTCCCCAACACTGAATTTTTATCAATGTAACAAAGGTTAGGAGATGAAGCTGTTGGGTAGGTATTGGCTAACATTTTTGAGCTACCTAACAACGTTGTTAATATTGTGTTTTCTTTAAGGTGATGGTCTTTTTTGGAAAAACTTTATTGAATAGTCTATGGGTTTCATAGTTTAGAATAGTATATTAGTGGTTTCAAAGGAAACATTGCGGACCTGTGTATTGAAAACTATACTACGTCAATACTAATATCCGTGGTTTTATTTAAATAATAGTGGATTAATGGTGTGTTGGAATGCTGTTCGTAGCATAAGGTTCGGACAAAATGAACAAGGACTAAATATAAAATATGATGTAACACTGCTTCAAACACACGCAATAGTTCACTTGTTTTGTAGGTAATATTTTTTTTTTTTTTTTTTTTTTTTTTTTTTTTTTTTAGGGTGAGGAGGGAAAATGCTTTTACGCACACAGGTAGCCAGCCTGTAGTGTGAGACTCCTGAGTTTATCACAGACTACTCACTAAAAAACCCCCTCTACTCTGTTGGACACAGACCTG